GGTATTTCTGATTTAGAGTAGTTACAGAAACGTAAAATGATGTGCCAGTTGTTTTCCAAAGCATTTGCACCAATTTACATTTTCACCACCTGCCTAAAACTGCGTTACCATTAAAATGATGTTGCTAATTTTATGAAAGAAAAGTCTAGTTTGTTTTGTTCAGTCATTCAGCAGCCTTAAGCTCCTTGCCTCTAACTGGGAGGTTGGGTTCAAACCATGTGTATGGACGCAGCATGTCCGGGGAGCAGCGCTTTCTCTAGGGTGCTCAGAGGAGGAGCCAGTCTCCACCTCCCGCCTGCCAGCAGTAGGAGGCTTTTACCCTGAGTGCTCAGTTCTGATCCCTCTTCAGGCAGCTCATCCCTGTATCTAGAGAACTGATGTGCGTTTGGGGAGTAAATGCAGCCGCCTCTGCTTTGCCCCCATAGGAGTGAAGGGAAGATGTAATGGATGGGGAAAACTGCCTTAGCTCCCCTTTTTTCCTTGATTTCTTGCTCCACCCACTACTCTTGCTCCCGGGCTTGTCCACTTAAGCGCGCAGCCATTCTGGAAGCAGTTTTCACCTCTGCTAATAGGATCCTCTTCTGTGTGTTCTGGGTCAGGACTTCCTCATACTTATTGTTCGTTGTCTAGAAAGTTGTCAAAAATCCATTACACTGATGACTGTAGCCCAGCCCACACCTCATTACCTCGTACCAATTCTCAGAGATAATTAGGTAGTCCCCTTTTCTGCTTTCCTGTCATTTCTGAAGAAGCATTAGGAAGAAAGGAGTAGAGACATTTGAGTTCAGTCAGTCATCTTGGACTGGAAACGTCCGCCCCAGATGTTTTAAACATTCCGAAAAGATTTTATGATTATATAGTCAAATGTAATAATATCTGCAGTGAAGATTTCTTTCTTTGCTTTATGCTCAGATTGTTTTTTTTCTCTTTCCAGAGATCATTTAAAGCTCAACACTTTTATTGGCTGTATTTAAAAAAAAATTAACACTGTTCTATCTGATTTACTTGGGGGGGAAGTCTAGGGTAAAAAATTCAGTGATTTTGTTTCTCCAATATAAAGCCAATTTTTAACACTCCATTTCAAGTAAGTTATTCCTTCCTCATCTACTTGTGCTCCCTTCATCTCATGTTATGTTCATATTTATTCAAGGAATTCTTATAGGCTACCTACTCTGATCCATTTATTTGAAGTAGGATTCTTGGACTAAATCCATAGTGTTTTAATTATTTTTAAAAATATGCTTTAATATTTACCTTGCTGTCCCAAGGCTTTACTGTTTCTTTTTAAAAAGTGTATTCTCTCTTCTTGCATATTCTAACAAGTGAACATGGGTATAATTTGGTCAAATTCCAAACCAAACAAAATGAAATCTCTAGTGGGATTTCACGGGGCATTTATTCAGTCTATTTATAATATGGGAAGGATTGACTTTTATCAAATACCGTCTTTCATTAAAATAATAGAGTATTTCTATACACTTAGTATTATTTCTATGTGTATGCCTTTAGGGAAAGGCTTGCCATACTTAGTATAGCAAACAAATATTCTTTTTAGTTCATTTTAAAGGTACTTTATGTACTTTTTTGTTATTGTAAATGAGATACTTTGATCACATATTATTCAAAAACAATACTTATTACTTTTATCAAGAGAAGAGTAACATATGTCCATTATAGAAAATGTTAAATTAAAATCCCTTGTAACTTACACTATTATATACATATTATAAGGAATATGCATTTCACTTAGTAATATGCATTTAAGTTTCTTCCCTGTCTTTTAATGGTTTGATAGTTCATTTTCTTTTTACCACTGAGTAATACTCCGTTCCAGTTATCTGTCCATTTTCCTACTGGAGGACATCTTGGTTGCTTCCAGATTTTGGCAATTATGAAGAAAGCTGCTAGGCGCATCCATGTACAGGCTTTTGTGTGCACATAAGTTTCAGCTCTTTTGGGTAAATACCAAGGAGTACAATTGCTGGAGCATATGTTAAGAGTATATTTAGTTTTGTAAGAAACCGCCAACCTGTCTTCCAAAGTGGCTGTACCATTTTACATTCCCACTAGCAATGAATGAGAATTCCTGTTGCTCCGTATTCTCTCCAGCATCTGGCATCATCAGTGTTCTGGATTTTGGCCATTCTGATGGGTGTGTAGTGGTATTCCATTGTAATTTTAATTTGCATTTCCCTGATGACACCTGATGTGGAGCATCTTCTCATATGCTCATTTGCCATCTGTATATTTTCTTTATGAGTTGCTTATTAAGGTCTTTGGCCCTTTTTAAAATCAGGTTGGTTACTTTCTTATTGTTGAATTTTGAGAGTTCTTTGTGTATTTTGGATAGCAGTCCTTTATCAGATGTGTTTTTTGCAAATATTTTCTCCCAGTCTGTGGCTTGTCTTCTCATTCTCTTGACATTATCTTTCTCAGAGCAGAAGTTTTTAATATTAATGAACTCCAGCTTATCAGTAGACACACTCTGATAAGTCTTGACTAGCAAGAATCTTACCATTTGTTGGTAATTGTGTTAGTCATTCTGTTATCCACCACAGTGATGTGTATGAGATTAAAGTGCTATTGTAGTCCTTCATAATTAGTCTTGTATTTAAACAACAGAATAACACTTGTACAAATGATGTTTCTTTGTTGGTAATCAGTATTTTTTTCATGAAGATCTAGTAAACATTATTTTTAGGAGGTATTTTGTCACACAGATAGTGATATGTTTGCATAGTTACTTTTGGAATCTATATATACAGAATGTATGCACTTTTTCTGACCTTATTATATTAGTACTGTAGCCACTAGTACTAAATTAATTTAGCCGCATGTTAAAATTTAAAATTCAGTTCCTCAGTCACACCAGCTACTCTTCAGCTCCTCAGTATTGGATAGTGGGGATATAAAACATTTTTATATTCACAGAAAGTTCTATTGCACAGTGCTCTTCTTGAACATAAGCAGTTGTGCATTAAAAAAACAACAGTTTTCTGTGATTTTTTTTTTTACTTCGTAGTAACTACTGAAATAAAATACTAAAATAAAAAAGGAAGAATAGAATAAAAAACTCAGTGAAAGGATTTGTTTCCCCACTGTTGGTTTTGTGTCTTAGTTATTTATGATAGATAAAGCAATGGTTTTAACTGTAGCTGAATGAACTGTGCCTTCACTGCTCAGCTAGATGCAAAACACAGTGGGCGGAGCAGTTCCTGTGACTGGTCCATCAACCTGTCTGTCTTTGTGGGCATGCAAACAGTGACAGGTAGTATTAATCACAGCAGCAGACTCTAGCTTCTGCAATAACTGTATTTGCGTAAATCTCATCCCTAGAATTAAGAACATGTCTACTGAGAATCCCTAATTTTTAATTCCTTGGAATTGGAAGGCTGCACCAGAGGGACACAATAGAGAGACAGTACAGTAGAATAAAGGCCCGGAAAATTTCCTCCAAGATTGGCTATTTAATTTTTTTTCTTTATTGACCTTATAATTATAGAATAAACTTTACTTGATTGCTATAGAAATAGTGTTTTCTCCAAATTTATTTTTTTAAAGCCTTCATTTAATTCAAACAACATTTAACATAGGCTATTACATGCTTATAATGTGCTTTACTTCTATTTATTCTTAATGGTATAGTGTCAGCTCAATTAGAAATAGTTTGAAAATTCCCTTGGAATGAGAGAGGGAAAAGGCATCTGGAAATATAACGCATTTCATAGTTCAATCTTGATATTAGAAGAATCTATCATTTGCCTGCTATTGATTTCTTTTTGTTTTTTTAGGTTGCTTGCAGTATTTGAATGTTGAGAAGGTATAGTTGCTAAAACTGCATTTAGATGGTGGGAATTTGTACGAGTAGGGTGGCTAATATGTGATAATGAGTAAACATGGGTGTTGATTTGGTCAGGTGTAAATCTTATTTTAAGTTGTTCCTTCAAGTAAAAAGATCCAGTTTGCATGGGTAGCTATTGTTTAGATCTTTTCTCTACTTGGATGCTAATTTAGAATCTAAGTAAAACTCTACTGAGTAGGGTAGGGGGAGTTGGCACACTGTATAGCCCCCACAGGTAGGGCACATGTTTCTAAAAAATGACAGAGGACAACTCTAAATATTGTACCTAATCTCCTACCATGAAAGGGTAGGAGAAGTAGTAGGTGTCACGTGTACAGCCATTATCTAACTTAGCCTTTGCACCTGAGTTACAGATACAACACAAAGGAGGTGTGGTCTGGGATATATTCATTCATCATCACTTCTTCCATAAGCATTTACAGAGATCCGGTTAACTCTCTTGAATTTTTCTATTAAAAGTTTCTCATGTAATGCCCTGAAACAAATTGGCAAATTGATAGCGAGATTACGTAAATAGAGACTGCCAGGATATATAAGGGTATTTAGGTAAAAGGGAAATTCACATTAAAGATAAATTTTTCCTGTAGAAAAATGTCTTTTCTATAGAACCGTTACTTGAAAGGACTATCTTTTATTTTTTAAAACTTAACCTTTCTTTGGTATGCTGTGGTCGTAATTGGAAATGTAACTGCCGTGATAAAATGATTTAGAAAGAGATGTACATGCTAATGCACCCAGAAATCAAAAATCTTGGCTCTTCTTCCTGGGATTAACATTGATGTTCAGTTAAAAGTTTTCATAGATAACTCATAGCGATTATGCAAAGAAGAGAGATCTTTGGACATTCCATGTTACAGAAGTTTTATTTCAGATTTTCAAGAATCTAGTTCTCTATTATTGATGCAGTGTGTGCTCTGAAATGGATACATTTTAAATATACTTAGTTTCTGTCCGCTTTGCTGTCAGTTCGATACTCTAAAAAATTATCTTTCAAAAATAGGTAATTAGAACAAATATCAGGGTACTTTTACACTGACGAAGTATTGGATCATGAGATACTTCGAAAAAAGCCTCTGTGATTGTTTTGAATGCTAAGAATTGTATTTTGTTTTAAGTAGTTTTCCGGTTTTCGTTTCAGCTATGAAGTCTTACACTCCGTATTTCATGCTCCTGTGGAGTGCTGTTGGGATGGCGAAGGCTGCCAAAATCATCATTGTGCCGCCAATTATGTTTGAAAGCCATATGTACATTTTCAAGACACTAGCCTCAGCCTTGCACGAGAGAGGCCACCACACAGTGTTTCTTCTCTCCGAAGGCAGAGACATCGCGCCATCTAATCATTACAGCCTCCAGCGCTACCCAGGGATTTTTAACAGTACCACCTCGGATGCTTTCCTGCAGTCCAAAATGCGGAATATTTTCTCTGGGAGATTGACAGCAATCGAACTGTTTGACATACTGGATCACTATACCAAGAACTGTGATATGATGGTTGGCAACCGTGCCCTGATTCAGGGTTTGAAGAAAGAAAAGTTTGACCTGCTGCTGGTGGACCCTAACGACATGTGTGGATTTGTGATAGCCCATCTGTTAGGGGTTAAATATGCTGTATTTTCAACTGGCCTTTGGTATCCTGCAGAAGTGGGTGCTCCTGCCCCATTAGCTTACGTCCCAGAGTTTAACTCACTCCTCACAGACCACATGAACTTGCTGCAAAGGATGAAAAATACCGGCGTTTACCTCATTTCCAGATTAGGGGTCAGCTTTCTGGTTCTTCCCAAATATGAAAGGATAATGCAGAAGTACAACCTGCTGCCAGAGAAGTCAATGTACGACTTGGTCCATGGGTCCAGTCTGTGGATGCTGTGTACAGATGTGGCACTGGAGTTTCCGAGACCCACTCTGCCTAATGTTGTGTACGTAGGAGGAATCCTCACCAAACCGGCCAGCCCACTACCAGAAGTAAGGTTTGCTGAACTCCTTGGTAGTAATCTTTTCTAAATATGAAGGTCAATTTGTCAGCTTTGATTTTTGGAAGAGATGGGATTGGTTATTGTTGGCTAACAAGCGCTACTCTCAAAAGTAGCTAAGGCTACCTAGAGCCTACCCTGAGGTCCCTTCCCTTGAGGATGCGCCATTCCCTTGGAGCATGTTCCTGCTTTGAAGGAGCGTTTCTACGATGCTGAGAGGCCATTCTGCCATATGGTCAATAGACGAGCTGGGAAATAGACTTTTGATTAAGTAATAACTGTAGTATGTGGGGAGAATGTAGTTAGCTTGCTTTAATGAGCGTAAGTGGTTTTGCTTTTAATTAAACCCAGAGTTCGCTCTATTTTCTCCCAGATAGCACAATCACCGACCAGTCTCCATGGCTAGATCAGGTTCAGTGAAGTCAAATAAACAGAAACCATGTGAAGAGAGGTTCTTCTTTCAGCAGTCATAGCCACTAAAAAGCTTATGTCCAACAATGAAAATGAGGTAGTCACTTCTGTCAAACTCAGGAGCCAGCTAATTTTTAGTAAGCAGCTGTAACTGTTTTAAAGAAATCCTGCCCCATTGCAATTCCATTTCAAAGATGGAATTGATTGCACTTTAACAAAACCCTGTCTCCTAAGTCAGACCTAAATTCTTTTTCTGATTGAGCTGTCAGTGAATCCCTTGTGTTCTCTTCTCCATCCTAGTTTGTTTTGTGTTAGGTAACTCAAACTCGCAGGAGCCAAACTTGAGTATCTGTCGTCGTAGGGTTTTTTTACCTCAGGCTGGCTCTCTGGGTTTGATCTCAACATCTGATGGCATTTACCTGGAAGCAACAAGTTGATCTATGATTTTGCTCTTTATTGAAACTCTTTCTACTCTTGAAAATCTGAAAAGACACACAATAACTCTGCTAAATCTCTGGTCACTACATATAAAAGCATTTGTCAAAGCCTTGTTGAAGAGCAAATCCAGATTTTTTTCGTTTAGGCATCTGATAAGGACAGTCACTGGGCAGAATTTTCTCATGGAGAAATAACGTGATTGGAATATGTAGCCTGTAGATTTTTCTAATCCTTTGGAAGTACATTTAATAAGTAATACCTTGATATATTTCACATAACATGAAGAAATAGAGCTTGCCAGATTTGGGGCCCATACCACCCGAGCATTTCATGCCACCGATGCCAGTGGAGGCTGAGGGCGTAGCTCTCTCTGACTTCAACTGTAAAGGATAGGAACTTATCTCAGCCTTTCTCAGCCATTCCTGAGTTTAGCCAAGCCCATTTCAAATCCTTAAATATTCTCTGCCAGAGTCACCGTGTGATTTATTAACTCCCTTTCCTAAAGGTAGGGAAAATCAGATTGAGAAGGAACTTCTAAAAGACTCATTGATAAGCAAGTCTGTCTTTACTCTGAGTCAGTCAGAATGTTACACAGATCAGCCCCGTTTCTCCAGGTCTCCATTTTTTTCCCAACCAGAGCCCTGCCCTTCTGCCTTGCTCCTTTTGTCTCCCTTCTTTAGCCACCGGATTGAAGAAGGAATGGATGATAAAAGGAATGTTCTGATGAATCTTCAGTCCCTGTACATTTGTGTTGAGTTGCAGCAACTTACACTACATAGCATAAGTACAGAATAATATTTTATATATATTTTTTCTATCCTCTACCCTTCATTAAGATACATAGCATGCGAGAATGCTGCTTTTTTCCCTATAACCCAAGCTTATCTTTCCCCCTATGGGTCCCTCTGCCTGTTAGTTTCACTATTTTATTTTACTTTTAAAGCGCCTTTTGAGTGGGTTTGGAGCCTTATGTAAGGTTATTACCCAAAATGTTTTCTGATTTGCATAATTTCTAGGTTTTTTTAAAAAATATTTTATTTATTTATTTGAGAGGGAGAGGATGAGAGATAGAGGGGGGAGGGTCAGAGGGAGAAGCAGACTCCCCGCTGAGCAAGGAGCCCAGTGTGGGACTCAATCCCGGGACTCGAGGATCATGACCTGAGCTGAAGGCAGTCGCTTAACCAACTGAGCCACCCACGCGCCCCGTACATAATTTCTAGTTTGATATTGGCTTGACTTACCTTGTGGGCTTCCCTGTTCTTTTTTTCCTCTTTCGGCTTTTTGTAATGATTCTTTTGAAAATGTGTTTTTTATTTACAATGACCACTTTGGCTGTGCCGGTGAAGTCACACACACACAGATACATACAAATATGGCATGTGCACGTGTTTTAAACAGAGATAAGAAAGAGCATGAGGCCAAGCACAGGGTCATGAAATACTCACTGTCATTTTGTTATTGCCAGAACTCCCTCACGGAGAAGGGTTTTAGGGAGAATGAGACATTGAGCAGCAGATTCATTACATTAACTACTTGTGAGCTGATCAGGTTATGAGAAGAATAACTCTGAGGAGCAAAACAGTGGCTTTCTATTTTCAGTTTTTATTGATTGGCCTGGAAGCCATTGCTTACTCTTCCATATGGTAATGGAAATAGACCTAGATAAGTCTATTCTTACCTTTGAAAACATCTTAGGTCATATGTGTGAAGGGCCATTTTCATTTCAGTATGCCATTTATAAAGTTTTTCACCAGGAAGTATTTTGAAGGATGAGGTGTCTTACCCTTTCAGATATTTCTTACTCTGGTGAGGCTTTATATGCTTAAGAACACATGTGTTCGTTCCTACTGGGATTTCTCTAGTAGATTTGTCCAATACGATAAACTGTACCTCAGGGTTCTACAAGTTAGTGAGTTTCTCAAATGCCTGTATTATTTACAGGTCATGGTTGTGACACTAAAATAATAGGGCCTAGCAAGTGACCGTTTAGAACACATGATTCACTAATAACAGCTTAATTGTTAACTGCCTTGGTATCTTACACTGGAAATGGATTAGGTTTTCCAGATGTCTGGAAATGATTTGGCAGTGGGATTTCATTTCAAAACCTGGGATGAAAGGGTACAGAAAATTTCTAAAAGACACTTTTTAGGAGCTTTCATAATGTTTGAGCTCAGAGAAACTCTAGAGAGCATCTAGTTCAGTTCCATTAATTTAGTTTATTCCCCCCTGCCCCTCAAAATACAGAGAATAGGCCATTCATTTGTCACATAGGAGATTCAGAGAGTTTGGATGTCTCGTCCAAGGCCATTAAGCTAGTTTGTGGCATAGCCAAGTAAAATGTGGATTATTTTGCTGTGATTGGATATTTTGTCAAGATGCCTACATCTCTTGTTACTCATATCACTCATTTACACATTTATAGTGTATACAAAACTTCAGAGACAAATATTTCTCTGTTCTTTCTTTGATATCTCAAGGATTATGAGGATTTAAGGTGAGAGTCAAATTTTAAATCATGCATACTCTTACTTATGCTTTAGAAATTTAATAATAGCAATATCAGCCAGAATCCAAATGCTTTCGATTACAAAGTATTTGTCTTGGCGTAAAGTGAAGCAGTTGTGTGCCTTGGTAATATTTTAAAATGCATGTTAGCAATGTGCCTACCTTATCATACTATTTACTACCTGACTGCCTAGAGTGTGAGTCCTTAAAATGTGTCAATGAAGGAGAAGAGGTTTGTTTTGGATCACATCTGCTCTATTATTGCAGGGCGGCAGAGAACATGAATATACATTTCTTTAAAAAAGAACTTGCCTCCGCCAGGAAGGAGGTCTGTAAACAGGTCCCTATTTGATTAGGTCCTTTGAGTATTAAATGTGAATGAAATAATATCTAACAGAGAGCCATTCTAGCTTTTAGCAGTTTTATGGGGGGGGGGGGATAATAATACAACCAGAGAAGAGTACATTTACTTAAGGAATCTATTCATTTTTAAAATTAACGTATTTCAGGTGATAATTTTTAAATGATTTCTCATTGACTGAAACGACCTGACCCTGCCGGGCAGCTGATCTGTCCCACTTTTCTGCTTCTACAGCCCCGAATTATTTTTGCACTTAATAGATTGTACTTTAACTGTCGGTTTTTCACATGGCTCTCTCCCTAACTAGAGTGTGGATGCCTCAAAGTGTGGATCCTCTACTTAGTCATCTTTGTACCCTGAGTATCTGGAGAATGGTAGGAATTCAATGAGTGTTTAAGATTAAATGAACTGCATCAAATAGAAATAGTTACCAAAAAAAAAAAAATGTTAATATTATGGCCATTATCTGCTTATTTTTTTCAAATGACTTAATGTGTGGTTTTATTTCATATTACACAAATATTAATCAAGCAGCCAGTAGTCAGATGCCAAGCACTCTAAGACAAATTCTCTTGAAGATAGTTTCTCAGATTTTTAGTGTATCTAAGACTTGACTGCACAGTTTGTAAAAAAATGCAGATTTTTCAGGCTAAACTCCAGATTTTAATTTAGTAGGATTGAGATGGAGTCTAGGAATCTGCAAATTACTGACCAACTCAGTGACCCTGACAGGAGACAAAGAGATCACTGTGGAGTTAGGCATACCCTTATTTCTTATTTGAACTGGATAAATGGATGATGGGTACAACAGAATGAACATTATTAGACAATCCAAGTAGAGGCAAGAACAAGCCAAGATGTTTTAGCCTAGCTTAAGAGGTTCAGATTATTTTAAATTTATGGCCACATACCATCCCAGCCACTAAGCAACCAAACATTCCAAGCTAAGTTATTTTAATGAATTAGAATTGCTACATAATGTTACTGATACTGACAAAAGATCATCATACTTACTCAGTTGGTGAACTAAATGGTCTCTACTGTGTCCCTAGTATGCATACGACCAGGGTTAGTAGCGTAAATCAGTTCAGCTGTTGCTGTCATGAAAGATGTTTTGGGGTGATGAGGTACTCATTTGGTATACTTCGGGGTGCTTTATTGCCAGGCTAGGAGCATAAAGGGCAACTTCATTTCACCAGTTGTGGAGACATTTTTAATTTAGGGAAACAGTCCTGGGGAAAGATACAGATAAGAGATAGAGATAAGAAAGAGCC